CAAAACCCTCGTCGCGCATTCCTCAAGGATTATGTACCCTGGAGCCAAACGACCAGAGTTGATGTGGCCTAACCTCGTTGCGTCTCCGCGTCTCTCGCTACTGAAGGCCTTACGGTTAGTGCCGAAATCACTGCAGGTAATGAGCAGTACCACTGGTCGTAATGAACTTACCGGCTTCCTCCAACACCTCATATACGACATAATTGCTGAGGACCGCTGTACGAGAAGGTTTCCATAGAACAACATTACCCTGAATCAGGTTATTCTACATTTATAGAAAGCCCCAAGACATTCAAATAATCATAAGATTCACCATCAAAACCGGTGACGACGCCAAGTTTCCACCAATCGCTGTAAAGTTGAATGGTGCAACGGCCAAAACGAAACCCTCCAATGAGAAAAGTTCAATCAGAACCAGCAGCGTTCATACTTTGCGACTGTGGAGAATCCGAGAGGATCAGTGACAATGGTTTACATGAGAATCGATTGTTTCTACCAGCTGATTTCTTTCTTCCGTGTCGTGATTCTCCTGGATGCCTGATTCCCCCTAGTCGAGGATTCTTCACAATCACAATGTTGCAACGCCACCCACAAAGCAGAAACGCCCACGCGAGAGACTATACCTCTAAACCTCGGTAGACCAGTTTATTGGTACTGATGTTAGTACTTATTGGATCATATTTGTCCAAGTCCAAGGCGAATTTGGAGTTGAACCGGAAGAAGTCTATCAACTCACAGGCAGAGTCTATTTCAGCCTGAAAATAACTTTCAGGACCAGAACAGCATGAACAGCTTGAAGGAAAAAAGCGTATTACGCCAACATCGCCTTTTGTCTATGCTCAAAGAACTGGGTTGCATAACACGTGCGGTGTGGGTCCGTGTGCGGAGTTCAGAAAACGTCTCATCCGCCTACTGGTGCAATTCCCTCTCTGTGATGGCAAACACACCGAGAAAGGGGAGGCGTGCCGATGATTCATTTTTCCTGACTGTCCGCCCCCGCCGCCCGCGCCCCCTCCCCAAACAATCCTGCACGATGCTTCTGCTCACACTGAGATCGTGGAGATAAAAGCGCCTGCCACACTCATAATCCCTTCTCCGCGTGTTTCATAAGGTCCATCTTCAATTTTTTCACGTTTCGAAATAACAGAACACTATTCGGGCCGGAAAATCACATTCCCTACAAAGTTGACTGCAAGATGGAGTATACAGCAGAATCGGTGCACGAAAAAGGATAAAAGGATTATCCTAGGAGATACCCGCCACACAAGTGCCGATCACAGGGTCGTGACATATAGAAATTAAAAAAAAGAATGGGCGCGATCTACTGTGTTTGTTTTTCCTCATGAGACTGGGTGATGTAACAGCTTCCAGCAGAAACAGCAGCAGAAACACGTTAGACCAGCTGGTATGCTGAGAATATGCCACCATGGGTAACTTGAAAGATACGTTTTGGGACAAATTTTCTAATGAGAATTAAGCCCTTCACTTTGTACGGACTAGTGAAGAATCCGGGCGCAAAAAGATGCCTAACAGTGCCCAAAAATGATCAGGACAGGAGTAGCTGTGAAAGATTTCTGGCCGCCCCCCCTCGGGGCCGTACACACCTGAACAATGTTCTTTCCTTGACCGAGCATTGTGGCCGCGTTCAGCTTTATTCGATATTTCCCAGCAGCCAGATCGGCTGCATGCCAGGATATCGGCTCGTTCTCTGAAAGACAACCCAGTGCTGGTGAAAACATACCCACAAAAATAATGAGTGATGCGGAAGGAGCAGAAAAGGTCCAAGGAGAAGAGAAAATGAGAATAAAGATGGCCCATCCCACATCGACACCAACAAAAAACTATCTACTTCACGTTTTCCTCCATGGTATCCGTGCTTCGAGGGCGACCTCTATGGCTTCATGAATTTGACCTGCCGTAGCATATGAATATTTTGCGATAGTAGTTCGATGGTCGGACGGCTGCGAAAAACGCAACTCACACTTGTCAAACTATCATCCAGAAAGATCCAACAAGAATCATAGATTAAGTCCGCATCCGCGTGGATATGCATGGTAGGATGGGTACTCGTTTGCGAGCTCGTCACTGTCGGAACCGCTTCCCACAATTATTGACGCTTGCTCGCCTCAACAGCCAGTGGAGAACGGGTTGGCGTCGCGCCACTCAGTCTCCCCTTGACGCGCCCCTTCATCCCAGGACGAATATTGACAAGCGAAACAGTAAAAGGCTGCTACCATTTGGATCAATAATGATCACTATTTACCTTTTACTGCCCACTGTTCGGATAATGGGGCCCAAGTTTTGAAAAAATTTTTTCCTTCTCTCATAGATTTGACCAACTTTGTCTTCGGGGTTGTTCGACCCCGTGAACAATCCGACCTCGTGAATATCATGTTTCATCAAAGTACTCGAGCCTGCGCTACGAGCAGCAGCGCTACTGGTACTTCCGGCGCCAGTAGTGCACGTAGCAGGCGTTTTACGCTGACCGGTGTGATGGTCGGGTTGAAGGAGTCAAAATCTTCCTAAAAAGTTCTTAACAGGCGGCTCTTCGAAGTGTTTTGGCACCGGCGCCGAAGCGTGAAACGAAAAAGCTTACTTGGAACAGTTGAGGAATCGTTCACAAGGATCATCTTGCATATATCTGGGCCGCATTTCTCTGGAGAGGTTTCCCGGAATGACTGCACACCACATCAAGGAGCGGATTCTGTGTCCATAAAGGCTGGGGAATGAATATTGGAGAGGAGGAGGGGGGGGAGAGGGAGAAGGGGTAGAGGGGTCACACTTGTCTGCTGGAGAGGCAGTAGTATCAGTATAGGCAGTAGTATTGAAGATTATATGGGACGTCGTAATGAGAGGGACTTTTCTTCACATTCCCCCCCCCCCTTCTCATGTTCCTAGCGAGTTATATGGTCAGCCGAACCGTGTTCTCAGCTATGTAGGCTCACCATAATCTTATTTCTATACCACAGGGTACATCATCGTCGGGACAATCCCATTCCTCGTCGGATAGGAAGGTAGTACATAGTCTTGACATTTGTTGGGAAGAGGGGTCGGATCTGGTCCTGACAGAAATTCGAGGTAGCGATCGATCGGTCTTCGCAAGAAGAATTTTTTGGTTGTTAGCTTTTCGCGATTTTCCCCGTTTCATATGTTTGATATACCCCTCAACCACCCCCCCCCCCCATTCCTGCTGGACGCCACTTTTTGGGGGAAGAACTGGAAATTCTTGGGAACTGGGCTAAATGCTACGATGCTGGGAAAGTTTAGGAAGGTGGTAGGTGGGATGAGTGGGGGAGAAGCGGAGTCACCTGAGGAAGAAATCCGTAAAGGGGGGGGGGGTGGGGGTGGCATCGTCATTCTCCCATTGTCACTGTTGCGACCTGGGCACGTCTTGCTACGTCCCCTTTTCCCATCCTCTCTACCACTTTTCTAGATTTTCCCAACATCCTACCACTTCTTCCATTTTTTCCGAAATTTTCCGAAAATTTCCTAGTCTTTCTCTCTTGTGCTGTCGAGCGGGGAGGCACTAGCACAAAAGAAACGGAAAACAAACACGAATTTTTTCCCAACGCCGCAAATTTCTCTCAGAAGCGAATACGTCATAACGACCCCCCTCCCTCTTCCCAACAACCTACAAGCGCGATTCCCTCCCTATAGCGTCCACGAAACAAGTAAAATCATATCGAAAAAATTTTCTCGTACCAAATACGAACCCCTCCCACGCTAAGGACTCCTCAACGTACGACGTGGTCTGGTTGCGACTAGAATCTGCGCACGCCCTGCCGTTGTGAAGAAAATTTGCCACAGCACAACCCTCTCGGAAATTGAAACTTCCTCCTCTGGTACATTCCCCCCCCCCCCCACCAGCGACCGAATATTGCCCAGCTGGGGATCCCTAACGCAGGACGTGCCCTGACTAGGATGCCAAAATTCAGCACGCATTGTACGTTTGTAGAAGTGCAGGCATACAGGCACGTGGCATTACTGCATGGAGCGACGTGCACTGGGGAAACCGGAGAGAAACGCCTGCAGCACCAACAGTCACCCCCTCCGTGCGCTCAATATCAATTTTCTGATCAATATTATGACATCCTGTGCAAAACGGATTCAATAACACATTTTTGTTCCGTCCAAGAGGAATGGAAAGGTCGACCAACACCTCCAAACGAGAAAGTGTAAAGGAAGGAAAAACACACCTTTCTCTCATCTAACATAATGAAACGAACAACAACAATGTGTAAAGTACAACAAGTAAACGAACAGAACTCAACCTAACTCAAAGCCATGTTTCGCGACGGAAAGACGTGGGCAGTGGGATCAAACTGTGAATGTTCATGTGTGCTTAATAACTCAACAGTGGAGAAAAAAACAATGTAAACCGTTTCAACCTCCCCAAGCAGGACTCTTTTTGTACGTGTTTTCCGGAGTTCGGACGGGTTCTCTGGGAGTTCTCGCCCCATGCCATATAGCCCCAGCCTCGGTAGATCTCAGCTGATCCTCAAGGTGTTTTCCTTAGGTTCTATGGCAACTTCTTATCTGCAATGTTGAAGATCCGGGGATAACCAGTGGGTGGGACCTCGCGAAATGGGTGGAGCTTCAGACACGTTACAGGTGGCCGAACTTGTTTCAAGCCACGGAAGTGGTAGAGCCCATGCGGAGATGGTCCTGCACACCTTATCCGCGCAAAGGATTTTACCTTTCACAGAGTCGCGAAATGTGCCTTCAAGTTTAAGATGACTTGACCCACCATAACTTGATAATGGATGTTTTCATTGAAGATTTTCCTGTTGCCAATCCTAATTGGTACGTCTGTTGTTGTCTGTAAAAAGAGGCTGTTAGTCAGTCGTGAGCAGTCAGAATTCCCCTTCCTGTAAAGGCAGACAGAGTTAGCATGAAGAGTCTGCACTCGTTCTTACCTTGCTCATGGCCTCCAGTTCCTTCTCTAACGCTATTCTCTCCGCGCTCCCTTTTTTATACTCCAAAACTGGCTCATTTGTCACATTCTTCATGAACTGTTCAGATGTTAACCCGCTGAAAGAGATGAGAAGTGAAAAGGTTGAAGATTTGAGAAAAAAATAAATGGAAAGAAGAGAACTAGGCACCTGAAGGTTGAGACTCCTCTGTAAAGCTTGGGCGCCGTGGAACGTAGTCGACTAGCTAACATGGTGCCTAAAAACAACTAAAATGTCTCCTTTGAAGAGCCTAAACAACTGAAGTAGCATGGAACATCAATAACTCCAGAATAAACCTGCCAAACAATATTTCCGAGCCGCAAGCAACAGATCTACTCCTACTCTGAGGGAAAGTTTCCTCATCGCTATCTGATGACAGTCTTACTTCCTCCGTTTCATGTTGGGAAGGGGGGGGGTGGGGGAATGGGTTCGGGACTCCAGTATGCCCTCCACCAAAGGTAGAAGCTGAATGGCGACCACAGTTGGTGAACAGTAGGCTAGACCGCGCCAAACCTAGTCTCCCCGAAACCTTAAGGGTCTGCAGAAAACTAGAGTGTAATTTGCTAGATTGGCGATTATCAGAACTACATGAAAATATACTCACTTAAGCACACCTCCACTCGTTGCTACTTGAACTTCCACCACTGGCCTGCTAGAACCTGTGGCCATGCGCTGATAATCGAGTTTCTCTGCAACCCTTCTAAAGCCCCCCCCCCGATACTCACAAACTTATGACCAAGGTTCCAAAACTTCGACACCACTACCTTTCACTTTCCCTCCTTTCGGGTACAACTTTTTTCAGTCTCAACTTAGGTGTAAATTGGTTGAATATCATGAACTTGAAGACACACTCATGCTCACGGCAATGTTTCTTTCGCAGCCAAAACGAGCACTCTTTCCGTCACTTAGAAGTGCATGCCAATACACCGTGGTTGCGATAGCTAGATATTCTTATGAGCCCCCGCCCGCTATAGGCACGTGCCCCTCTCTTGGCCCAAGATAAGGTTTGATCTCTGAGCTATATCAACCTTGTGATAACTTACCATCTCGAACGACAGTTATCGTAAGAACTTGAAGTCCTAATAACCAAGGAGCCCGAGGAGAAAAAGGAGAGGGCGTCCACAAGACGTAACAAAATTGAAAATACTGTGATGGAGTTAGAGATCTTTGGCTAATCGAAAAGGGGAAAAGCTCTGGAATAGGTTGAGCCATTTCAGATACGGTAAGTCCATTTTTGCTGTGAATCCCAGTTTTGCGCAAGGAGCCCTCGACATTATCCCTCTTTTGAGGTGAGTTGTTCGCCCAAGTTGAAAACCTGTGATTTTTTTCCCAATCGAAGGACCCCTATGATTGCCATATCAGAGTGCGGCATGGGGATGGTAGAAAAGACGGTGTCGGACAATTCCTTTCCCCAAATCGATTCCTCCGGTGCGACTCTTCTCTGTCTTTTTACATAACATCTTCCTCCTTCTTCCAACATCCTACCACTTTTTCCCGGCTTTCTGAAAGATTTTTCCAAATTTCCAAAAAAAAACGCAGCAGCCGATCGGAGGATGGAGGAGAGTTGGGGGGAAGGGGTCATTACTAACCAACTACTTATCTCATCTGTCAAATATGCCACTTCTATAGGACTTTGAGGGCGCCGCCCACTAAGGGGGTGAAGGGCATGTAACACACATGAAACGGGAAAAACCGCAGTCAACGAAAGGAAAATGTCAGCAGTTCGGGACATCTCATCTCATGACCAGATGCACCTCAATGACCAAATGCGATCCCCATTCCCACAGAGAGAGATCGAGATTGAAGAGACTGTTCCGCCAAGGCAAAAGGAGCGGGCTGCCATTTTCCAACATCTGACGTAAAAACCAAAAATTGGAGGGCAACTCCATTTACATCCTTTAACTGCCCCCAGTCATCCGAAATCAGGCCAGTTCCTGACCGACTTTTTTCTCCGTGGGCAGAACTTGCTGAAAACTTGGCTTCAGGGGTAGTTCGACCCGCTGAACACGAATATGGCATCCGCCGCTTAACCAAAACCTTCTCGCCCGCGCCACGGGCGCCGGCGCCAAAATAGTCGAAATCACCAAATTCGCTGAAAACTTGCTCCAGGGGTGGTTTGACCCCCTGATCACGAATATCACATCCGCTCGGCGCAAAACCTCCTGCCGCCCGCGCTACAGGTGCTGGCGCCAAAACACCCCAGATCACCGGCGCCTGTGGCGCGGGCGCCAGGAGGTTTCGGGCTATGCGAATGTCATTATTCGTATTCAGGAGGTCAAATACCCCATAAGACAAAGCCAGATCTGTCCACGAAGAAAAAAGTCGGTCAGAAATTTGCTCAATTCGGGACTGTTGGGGCAGTAAAGAGTAAACAGTGCCAACTGGAGATGCAGTGAAGGAGCTGAAGATCTTTGCCTAATCGAAAAGTGGAAAAGGTCTGGGTTAGGTGAAGCAATTTTAGATACAGTAATTCCATTCTTGCTGTGAATCCCAGTTTTGCGCAAGGAGCCCTCGACATTATCCCTCTTTTGAGGTGAGCGCCCAAGTTGAAAACCTGTGATCTTTTTCCCAATCAAAAGACCCCTATGATTGCCATATCAGAGTGCGGCATGGGGATGTAAGAAGACACGGTGTCAGGTAGCTCCTTCCCCCGAACTGCTTCCTCTGGCGCGACTCCTCCTTGTTACTTTACAAAACATTTTCCTCATGCTTCCAACATCCTACCACTTTTTCCCGGCTTTCTGAAAGATTTCTCCAACTTTTCCAAAAAAAAAAAACGCATTCCGGCGATCGGAGGATGGAGAGGTGGGGGGGGGAGGGGTCATAAATAACCACCTTATTATCTCCTATATTCTTATCTGTCAAATATACGGGGTTGAAGGGCATGTAACACACATGAATCGGGAAAAACCGCAGTCAACAGAAGGCACAATGTCAGCAGTTCGGAACATTTCATCTCAAGACCAGATGCGTGCCATTAATCAAATGCGATCCCCTTTCTCTGCCAAACCACTACCCCCACGCTAACCCCGCCCCCCCCCGGCCCCCCCCCCCCGCCTTCTCTCCAGTGGAATTTTCCCAACGATGCTGCACCCTTGGCCACGTGGCTATGGGTGCAATCGAAGTTTATAACAACTATCTTGCCATGAACACTTCAGACGAAAGTAAACAAAATACGAGAAAAGGGATAAGGCAACCCCTTCCAACTCATGTTGAAAAAGGATTTTTGTAGAAAACGTTGACTGGAAACTACACATGAGAAATGAGAGCCCAAGGCGACACCAGGTTGTGACCTTCACCGTGACAAATGAACGCTATCGTAGTCGGGAACAGCTTTTTTTCCAACACACTGTACGCAACACGTGACCAAAACTGAATGAGAGAAGGACCGGTTCTAAAGCGCACAACTGTGAAGGTTCATATTAATTCTATTAATATAAATCGATTGAGCACTCTATTGAAAAGGGCTCCATGAAAGGACGATGTTATCCATTATAGGAGGAATCAGCGGAAAAAAAAGGAAAACGGCTGCAGCTTCACAGTCAGAAATGTAACACTGCGTTTCAATCAAAGCAAGGCTCTGGATGAGCAATTGGTAGCATTGACACAGGGGCAGTGAACCTGCCTAGTTGGCGAGATCGTCTCCCGGTAAACGCAGTCAAACCATCTCCCTTGTCTGGTTATTTAGTAATACACCTGGACGCGGATCTATTGAAGGCACGTCATACGTTGGGGGGGGGAGTTTTTCCAAGCGAGGGGGGGATGAGGTAGGGGTCGTACCAGAAAAAGAAATTTAGAGAGAGAGGGCTCGTGTTCTGCAAAAATTAACTCCAACGGCAGGACGTGTCCTCATTGTGAGGTAGAATTATGGGGAATATGGCTTGAGCCTACACAGAGCTTTCCTGTAGTTGTGAGGGGACACGCGGCTTGTCTAATTCGAGCCTTCCAAGGCTCGCGCTTAGGAGAGTGCAGAAGACCAGAGCTGCTTGCGATCTCGTCTTAGCGGGCAGAGTAATGGACATTGCCGCGCCACCTTGTGGCTCTTCTCAACTAGTATAGCAGCTCGAGTTCCGTGATGGCTGGCCTTTTGTCCTTTGAGGAATAACTGCGGTTCTGAATAGCTTGAGCACTACTTAACAAAAAAAAACTCTACCATAGTGGAAGAGTGCCTCGACTTGCCCAAAAAAATTGACAGCCTAATTTCAATATTAGGTTGTTCACTTTTCCGTGGTTTACCCTATACCTATAGAAATAGTTTTGCGATTTTGATCGAAAAAGGAATACATGGCGCGTCTCGAACGGTTTGTTTTCACACGAAGCACTTCACCCTGCAGCAATATTATGGTCTCAAGTATTGCCCTCATCAACTAACTCCATTCCTCCGTTTTCATAGAAATGAAAAAAAGAATTCATGAGAAATATTCTATCACCAAAAAACTGAAGGTAAGTAATAGAATAGAACAACGAAAATATTTTCATAAAAACACTTTTTTTGATTAAATAATCAACTCTTCACAATAGAACTTTCCTTCTTCCCTTACTGAAGAGCACAGAGAAGGAAGATTGGTCTCGTTCAGTTTCCGTCTAAGGGCACGTGCGAAACGGAAACTGAACTACTTCTTTGAATCGACCCCCCTCAAATGATTTAGCTAAAATGAATAAATGAATTAAAGTTCAGAATTACCTTGAAGTAATTTTCAACTTTATAGCAGATGCCTAAGATTTCTTAAGACTCAATCTTTTTATTTTATTTTATTTTAT